TGGCTGAAATAGTTCCTTTCCACTCACAGTCCTGCTTGATGCGTAGTTTGTTCTTGTTGGTTGTTTTAGTTTTTTTGTTTTTCCTCCTTTCTGTTGGTCGGAGAGTGCCAACTTTGTGGTTGGGGGAGGATAGCAGGGTTCTGAGCTTTCCTCCCTTCTAGTCCTCTTTTATGGCAACTTTCTTCTTCGGGTAGTTTGCTGGAGTCATCTGTTTATCTTCTGTGTCCCAGTTCTCACTGGGACCTACCACTTTTCCTCCCTATTAACTTTTTTTTAATGGGAGATCTTACTCGCAGCGTTTCCTTGCTGCCATGTTGATCCGCCCATCCTTTCAGACAATTTAAAGAGAAACAATATGTGTATCATGGGAGTCCCATATAGAGTTGAGCGAGAAAGGCACAGAAAATTTATTTAAAGAAATATTATCAGAGAATCTCCTTAATCTGGAAATCAACCAAAGAGTGCTCCCAGGAATGAATCCAAACAGACATATCCCAAGACATAGAAATAGACCAATATATACCAGTGACAATTACAGGACACTTAACCATTCAGAGAAAGAAGCTTTAGTACAAGGCAATACCTATCAGATTATATGCAGACTTTTTTTTTCATGGTTTCCATATTTTATTTTATTTTATTTTATTTTATTATTATTTTTCTTTTTTCTTTTTAATATCTTGTTTTATATAATTCTTATATCATTTTTCATCTTTGTATAATGTATGCATTTTCATTTTGGTTATATTCCCCATACAATTGCACCCCCCCTTTATTTTGACTCTAGTTCTTCTTCTCCCTGCCCCTCAGGAATCCACCCCCTCGTAGTATGTCTCTGGTTTATAGTTGCTTGTTGATTTTGATTATTACTTTGCATTGATTAGGTTTTTTCCTGGTCTCTTATTTAAGTTTTCTAGATTCCTGCTGAGTGAGACCATCCGGTATTTTTCTTTTTCTTTCTGACTTATTTCACTGAGCATGATCCCTTATAGCTCCGTCCATGTTGCTGCAAGCTGCATATGTTTATCTTTTTTGATTGCTGAGTAATATTCCATTGTGTATATGTGCCACATCTTCTTGATCCAGTCATCTATTTTTGGGCATTTGGTTGTTTCCATATCTTAGCTATTATAAATAGTGCTGCTATAAACATAGTGGTGCAGGTGCCCTTTGGAATTACTGTTTCTGTGTCATTTGGGTAAATACCTCAGAGTGAAATGGCTGGATCATATGGAAGCTCTATCTTTAGTAGTTCAAGAAATCTCCACACATCTTCCATAGTGGTTGGATCAGTTTGCACTCCTACCAGCAGTGCAGGAGTGTTCTTTTTCTCCACAACCTAGCCAACATTTGTTGTTGCTAGTTTTTTTAATATGTGCCATTCTCAAAGCATCACACTCCCAGACTTCAAACTATACTACAAAGCCATAATCATCAAAACTGCCTGGTATTGGAACAAGAACAGACACACAGACCAATGGAACTGAATTGAAAATCCAGAAATAAACCCACAGATTTTTTGACTGGATTATTTACTTTGTTTTGGTTGAGTCTCATCAGCTTTTTATAGATTTTTGTGATCAGTTCTTTATCAACAATGACTGATATAGAAGAGAGAGATGCAGCACACATACTTGTCTCCTGGTGGAAAACACAGATTATCCATGAGGTAATCTACCCAGAGCAGTCCAACCTTAATACAATCAAGCTTTGTGCAAACTTTCAGTTTACAGAGAGAGCAAATTCAGTGGCTTCATTCTTTGGCGTGTAGTGATCCAGTGTTCCCAGCACCATTTGTTGAACATTTTTTTTTTTGCTCCATTGTGTATTCTTTGCTCCTTTGTCAAAGATTAGTTGACCATAAATCTGTGGGTTTATTTCTCAGTTTTCTATTTGGTTCCATTAGGCCATGTGTCCATGTTCCAATACCATGCAGTTTTGATGATTATGTCTTTGTAGTATAGTTTGAAACCTGGGAAAGCAATGCCTCCATTCCCTTCAATGGCTCCCCAGAGGAAACAAAAACATTATTGATCTACCACACAAAGAACTAATTTTCACAAGTAAATTGCCAAGAAACCAAATAGAGATGGAGACACTGCCTGTAGGTTAAAAGAGACAGGAGAAGAAAATAGTTTATGTAACTTGTTATATTAACAAGAAATAAGAAAAATAATATGCCATATCAACAGATGCAGAAAAAACAATAGACAAAAGTCAACACCCATTTATGAAAAACCCCAAACAACCCTGAGCAAATTATGAATAGAAGGAGTCTCTCTAAATTAGTAAGGAGTATCTTTGAAAACCTTATGCCTAATATCATACTTAAAAGTAAGACAGTAAATGCATTTAAAGTTCAGGAACAAGACAAGTATGTCCTTTCTCCTCACTGATATTAAACATCATATTGGAAGTCATAACCAGTGCAATAGGCAAGAATATAATTAAAAACCTATAGATTTGAAAGGAAAAAATACTTTATTGGCAGATGACATGATATCTATACAGAAAATTCCAAATAATCTATAAAAAAGGGGTTCTTAGATCTAGTAGGTAATTTTTGAAAGGCAGGATAAAATCAATAAAGTAAACTGTGTCCCTATATACCAGAAGTGAATAATTGGAACTTAAAATTTACAAAGCAATATTTCTTACAATAATAGCACCTAAGAAATGAAGTAATTAAATGTAAGTCTAAGAAAACATCTACAGAATATATATGTGGAAAACCACAAAATCCTAATGAAGAAAATCAAAGATCTACATAAACAGAGAACTTTCAATCAATTTCCATTGATTGGAAGGCATGATATTATCATGGTGACAATTCTTTTCAACTTGATCTGTAAAATCAATGTAATGTCTTCCAAAATCCCGCAAACTTTTTTTTAGATATTGACAAATTGATTCTACAATTTATATGTAAGTCAAAGGAACTAGAGCAGAGAAGATAGTTCTGAAAAACAGGAACAAAGTCAGACAACTGACACTACCCAACTTTAGCATTTTCAATAAAGCGACAGGAACCAAGACATCGTGGCACTAGTGAGAGTGCAGGCATGCAGATCAGCAACACAATAGAGAGGGGAAAAATAGACCTACAGAGATACTTGACTGAATTTTTTGACAAAGGAATACAGGCAATACATTGGAGAAAGAACAGTCTTTCAAAAATGACACTAAAAACTGGATGTTGGTGTGCAAAAAAAAAAAAAAATGAACCTTAACAGGGCCTCCCCAGTGGTGCAGTGGTTGAGCGCTGGGTTGCAAAGCTGCCCGCGGCCTCTGCGGTGCCGGTTCAATCCCCAGCTGCTCCCCAGCCACCGAAGGAGGGTCCCACATGGTGCGCAGACCTCTCCTGCCGCCCGCTGCTCCCCTCAGCAGTGTACTTCGGTCCTTCTGCCTGCTCTGCTCCCTGCTCTGGCTCTGGTGAATTCTCTCACCCTCCCGTGCTTCTGACTGTACCCAGTGCATGCATAAACAAAACAAACAAATAAATAAATAAAACATGCCTCTATAAAAAAAAAAAAACTATTAAAAAAAAAGTTTAAAAAAAAAATGAACCTTAACAAATACCTCACACCTTTAAATAACAAAAATCGAACCAGGTTAATTTTAAAGATTTAGTTAGCTTTATTAAATGATTCATGAGTCAAACTCATCTAGCATATAGAAAGGCACTGAAAAACCATATGGAGGATTTTACAGGAAGAAAGAGGACAAGATAAGGGCAGAGGAAATAATTTCAGGCTTAGCTTACCTACCCATGGGAAATAGAAAAAGGTCTTGTAGTGGGTTATCTCATTTTCATTTGGGAAATAGAAAAGATGACCTCATTGGTGCAGATCAGAAAATTCCATACTGATCAAGTAAACCTTCATTCCTGGAAGGGGGCTGGGACTGAGAGTCCATACATGAAACCCCAGTTAAGTTAGATGTTAAGTCTCAGTGGACTTAGCACAAGTGTTTCCATTGGAGGACTGTCATATTCTTTTCTTAACACATCTTTTATAAAAATTTTGCTCCAAAGATTTACAGGCCCAGTTCCATTAGATATGCTCTCTCTCAGCCCGGAAAACTAAAAAGACATTTCTCCAAAAAGGAAATGCAAATGGTCAATAGGTATATGGAAAAATGCTCAATATCACTTATAATCAGAGAAACACAAATCAAAACCACAGTGAGATACCACCGTACACCAGTGAGAATGACACATATTAAAAAAAACTGGCAACAACAAATGCTGGCGAGGATGTGGAGAAAAAGGAACTCACCTGAACTGCTGGTGGGAATGCAGACTGGTCCATCCACTATGGAAAGCTGTGTGGAGGTTCCTCAAATTACTATAAATGGAGCTTCTATATGACCCAACAATTCCACTCCTAGGAACCTACCCAAAGGACACAAAAAATAATAATTTGAAAGGAAACCTTCACTTCTATATTTATTACAGCACTATTAACAATAAGTAAGATATGGATACAACCTAAATGCCCCAAAATAGATGACTGGATCAAGAAGATGTGGTATATATAGAGAGTGGAATATTACTCAGCAATCAAAAAAGATAAACTCATGCCATTTGCAGCAACATGGATGGAACTGGAAGTGTTTCTGCTCAGTAAAGTAAGCCAGAAAGAAAAAGAAAAATATTGTATGGTTTTACTTATAGGAGGAATGTAGAGGAACCAAATAAGGGGCCAGGAATAAACAAAAAAGACAAAACTAGCAGGCAATTATAAATCAGAGACATTCAGCAGGAGAGGGAGAGGGATTAAAATGGGAGGGAGGAGCACAAGAAACTATGGTGATGGTTCATGGGTGGGTTGGTGGTGGGAATTTTACAGGGACTACACCTGAGAGTAGAAATAAAGCACTGTACAAAAATGAACAGTGATATATCATATCATATCATATCATATATATAAAGACAAGTTTTGCTGGGTCTATACACATGGGGTTTGCAGGATGCTCATTGGAAATATTCTTTCTTACAGAGACATCCCTATGTACATCTTCATGCTGCTGCTGCTTTTTTTTATAGTATATGGGAAATTCTCTAGGGATGAATATTCTCTCAATCGAGCTATCCGGAATGAATTTGCATGGTAGGAAATTTATTAAGTTTCTCTAAACCCGGCATGTTTCTCGACCTTTTCTTGAATGATACACCTAGAAAAACTATTTTTCTTTTAAAAAATGGCTTCATAATTTTACTTTAAATTCAAATTCAGGACTACAAGATTTTAATTTTTTTGAACTCGATCTCTCCTTTCTTCCACATCAAGAACCTCCCTTTCATAAACACCAGGAATGGCAGAATTAATAAGTTACAGAATCATTTATTTGCTTCATGTCAATATGAAATACAATCAGAATAAAGAGACCAATGGTCCATTGACAAAATATTATGAAAATAGCTTTGTGATTTCCCCTCAGTTCTCATATGGTCATATTTTAAATTTTTTGCCCCAAATTTTAAAAATCATATTTCTTCTCTCCCTCTGCAACTAATTATTTTCTTAAGTGACTAATTATTTTCTTCTGTTTATTTGTTTTATTTGGAATAAGTGGATGCACAGATGCTCAGCCTGGGGCCACTGCCCTGGGAGTGATCTGTCATGACCAGACATCCTGCAGTAGCCTTCAAGTTCCAGGGCGAGGGTTATCTCGTTAACTCTGAACAACTCTTGTCTTTGTTAATACAGACAGACTGTCAGAAAGGAAGGGACCCTCCAGGCCATCTATTCTACTGTCTCAGAACATTATACTTTTGAAAGATTGAGACTCAGTGAAGACTTGCCTCCATTGTCCCACACATGAAAATAGAAAAGGTGGTCAAATTGATTCATTGGTACTGTTTTCCCCAATGTTCACAGGAGGCCTCCATTTGCAGACTGTTGGGGCCCATCCCCAGCATTGCATTTTGATAAATACTGCTACTTTGACATTTCAAGTCACTTCAAGGTTTGAGAACCGAGACGCTATACGAAAACATGGTACTGCAATTTCTTTTGTGCTGAAGACATCTGAGTTCTTTGATCTAAGGATAGTGCTCAAACCACAATAAATGGCATCCAATTCCAAACAGTGGTAATAGTGCTTCAAATATTCTGCCATTCTTCAAGTGTTCAGTTACTTCTTCCCAGTTTTAAAGTAGTAGATTTCATTGTTGGTAGATGTGGGAGAAGAAATGAAAAACAGAAAAAGTTAATTTCCAAAGTAACCACTGATAACATTCAGTTGTGTCCTATTTCTTCCCTATGTTTCAATGTTTCTGAAGTTGGCATGCAAATGATAATCAATATGTACATTTAATGAGTCATTTATTTTTATTGAATGTTATTTTTACATAGTATATTATTAAATTTCATTTTCACCTGCCCAAAACACTCAATCTGAGAGCTCTTTCAAAACAATTTGGCTTTGAATTCTGAATTGCACAATATGAATTCACACTGGTTCTTTACTACAGCTTCAGTGGCAGGAAATAAAATGTGTTCAAGATTTACTTTCCCTCTTTCTGGAGAACAAAAACACATTCCCATAGCTTTTCCATAAATATGTTATCTTTGGCTAACATTTAATTTGACACAAACTATTTTGAATCTTTTGGCAGGAGTAACAAATATTTTTAACTTATCTATTATTTAGGGACACTTATTTTTATCTTCTGTGTTATTTTTTGCCTAACTAATTTAAATTAATCCAAATTGGTTTGAATTTGTTTCTATTACTTAAGAACATGTTTATTTTTAACCTTTAAACCAGCCAGATAATGCTGAGCAAATGTAAGTTTAGGACTCACTAATAAAGTAAGTTCTGTATATCCCCGTTCAATGAGTTGGGCTCCCTACCACTCATTAATCCAGTTTTTCACCAGTGAACATGCTAGCGATCAAGAGAAGTGATATTTTCTGTGGCCCCGTTCTCAATACTAGTTATTGCCATGAATGACCAACTTTATTCTCCTACCCATGCAGTTGCAGCTTTTGTCAGCAGGTGGCACTGCATGTAAAACAAAGTGATCACTTTTGTGTCTCTGGATGGAAATCTAAACGAGCAAAATTACTGGCTTTACAGAAAGAAAAAGAAAAATACAGGATGGTCTCACTCATGGCAGGAATTTAGAAAATCTAAATAAGGGACCAGGAAAAAGCCTAATTTTAATAAAGTAAAAATCAACAAGCAACAAGCAACTATAAACCAGTGACACACCGGTCGGGGGCGAGCAGAGAGAAAGGGAGTAGGATCAAAACAAGGGTGGTGGGATTGTATGGGGACTATAACCAAGATGAAACTGCACACATTGTGCAAAAAATGAAAAGTGATGTAAAAAACATATAAAATTAAAAAAATAAAAAAAGAACATAAAGCAGATCTTAATCATTATGGTCATTAATTCAGGTATTCTTTACTTATCAACTCCTCACTCTGAAGGAATAAAAAAAAATTCTGGCTTTTGCTAATTTATTTTTATCTCATATTTCCCAAATCAGTATTGTTTGACATATTTATCATAAGAATTGTTGCCTCTTGATATTCAAATCAGAAATATTGCAACTAAGGTGTTTGTGCCCGTCCTGCCTGCACACAATTGCTGTGTTTGGGCTAAAGGTCAGAGGCTGAAACCCAGTGGTTTGCACAAACCTTGTAATGTGCCCCAGAAGAGGCACATCACAACCTGTTGAAATACTGGCCCCCAGTGGGATATTCATGTGTCCTAGTTTAAAACCGGATGTTGAAATTCAACCCTCTTCCCTTATCATCTCCTGGTACCTAATCCTGGAATTCCAACAGCTCCTGAGGTTTAGCACTTGCTAGCATCCCAGAGAGCTCAAGCTGGGCAGTAAAAATGGGTCCTGTCAGTCACCAGGTAGTTTTAGCAAGTTGTGACTCAGGGCCTTAGTATTATCATTCGTAAAGTGAGGCATTGGGTTGCTTAAGTCTTAGGTCTTAACATAAGTAAATGTTACTGAATTTTCCAAACCTAAGTCTTATTTATTTGAAGTCTTTCTGAACTCGATAGTCTTAGTGAAATTCTGAGTAAAGTGAAGAAAAACCACCAATAAAACACATATAAAAGAATGAGTTGGGCCTCCCCGGTGGCGCAGCGGTTGAGCGCTGGGTTGCGAAGCTGCCCGCAGCCTCTGCTGCTCCGGTTCGATCCCCGGCCACCTGCGAGGGTCCCACATGGTGTGCAGACCTCTCCTGCTGCCCGCTGCTCCCCTCAGCAGTGTACTTCGTCAATCTGCCTTCTGCTCTCCCCTCTGGCTCTGGTGAATTCTCTCACCCTCCCATGCTTCTGACTGTACACAGTGCTTGTATAAATAAATAAATAAATCTTTAAAAAAAAAAAAAAAAGAGTAACTCTATCCAAGTGCCGTCAAAGGGAAACAACTGCTGATTTTATCTTTACATTGTTTGGCCATTAATACTTTCGTGGGCCTATTTTCTTTAATTGCTCTAATTAGTACAGAGTGGGAATGCTCTTGGCTTGCTGTCCATTGCTGCATTCCTGCCTGATGTGCACTGCATGTGCGCCTTGTCTCTTAGTCACATTCAGATTTCCCTGACTTAGTTTCTTTAACATCATCCCAACAGTGAAAAAGTGTCAGGAAGCAATAACATTTCCCCCAAAAGCTGTGCTTTAAAAGTCTACTTTCTATAATTTTTAAATGCAGACGATGGAGCATATCTGTCTGTAAGTGTGCAGTTGGTCTGTCAGACAGTTCTGCTTCCCAGAGCAGATCTTTAAGTATCTGTTGAAAATCAGCTGTCCTCCCTTACTGCTCTCTTTCCTCCCCCATTTCCACTCTCTCTGCCTTGTTCTTCCATTGCCCTCCTCCCTCTGTTAGGTTTGTGAATGCTTGCAGGACTGCGCCTGCCTACTTCTGTCTCCTCAGGCATTCTCTGTCCCTTAGTGCCCCTTTTCTCCACCACACTCTCTGGATGCCCCAGCAGCTCTCCAGCTTGCAGTCCATTTGCCCTGCAGCGTGACAAGTTTTCAGAGCTGCAAGAGGGGTTGATGTGCAGTACCTAGTAGAGGGCCAGCTTAGATTAATCTATCAAAATGTATGAATCAAGGAAATAGTAAGTGTGTGAATGGGTGGGGAGTAATCCATGTAAAGAAGCAGAATAGAACTAGCAAAATAGTTAGCTTACCATTCTTTTATTCTCACATGACAAGGATATTTGTAAACACATTTTTAGTATATATAAATTGTTGGTTGAAATTCTACCGTATCATTAACAAAGCATTTCTTTATCTTTCATTTGTTTCTTTTTTACAGTTCTTGCCACAACTATTAGGTTCTAAATTATCTCTAAAATCTGTCCTCGATCAGCAGTAGTGTGTTACACTTGCCTGTAACACAGTCTCATGGTGTGCTGGGAAATGCCAACCAGTTGACTCTTCAGGATCACAAGCTCTGGTTTATGGCATCTGCTGCCACTTCCTATGGTGTAAATGCTCCCACCAATCTGTTTCATACTATCAACTTGTCACCAACCGGTTGGGGAGGAAAGCTCAGTTAATTCTCATATGAGTTGGTAGAGATGCTCTGGCACCCAGTGCTGATTTTGCTCCCAATTCTGATGTAACAAAACTACGTAATGCCATCACGTGAGGAACCCAAATAAAGTGGCAGCCCACTTTTAATTTGGTCTGTATTTGGCTGGTGGGGAAGACAGGACAATTAAAATTTTGTGTACTTGGTTGAGTTTGAGTTTGTCCTCTTCTAACTGCTTTCCAATATTGCTTCTCCTGAGAAGTGTTTTATCCTCCCTCTGTCATGGAGAAAGTGCTGGAGGAAATAGCTAACAGACTGTATTTTGTCTCATAATATGAAACCACATGAGAGGAAGATTTTCAGACCCAGGTGAGAACTGCTTTGCTTTCTGTGAAGAAATTTAACTTCTTCCTTTTTCCTTTGCTGCAGCTTGGAGCCAAATGTCTGCTCCCAGTGCTGCCATACAAGTGGATTTACTGCAGTTTTGAGCAAGCTAAAAGTGATAAATGTTGTCATTTTGACATGATTTCTGAGCTCTCCTTAAATTAGTTTCTTGTTGGAAAGTGAAACATATTACTAATGAGTGTAATAAATTAGTTAATTGGCAAGAAACAGACTACTTAGTTGACACCTCACTATGTGCCAGCACTGTGCCTGTTCTGTGCCTTTTTGTCTAAGGCTCATCGTGGGAACTGAGTATGCTGCTGTTCTTTGTTGGGAGTTGGGGGAGCTGGTGAAAGAAAAGTTGCATCCTGGTTGCGTCCTGGCCCCAGAGGCATAGTGCAGAGGAGGAACTGTGCTTCCCTGTGGGTCCTGGCTCCTCCTCTTCTCTACCTCCCAGCTTACTCCATGCCAGCCTCAGCCACATGGCTATCCACACTCTTTTAACCCCCCAGCTCATGCCAATCTATCCTTTGTCTCTCCCATCAGCCCCCGCACTTTGAACATCTTCCCTCCAGTGGCCATGTCCCATTCTGTCAGTGCCTTCAGGTCCTTGCTGAGATGTCACCTCATACTGAAGTGTCCCAGGGCCACTTGAATTAAATTACCACCTTTCTACCCTCCACTTCCTGTCTATCTCCCTTGCTTAATGTTTATCACTGGTGAAGTATCTAATTTGTTTTTTTGTTATTTGTTTCCCCACAAGAGGGAGGGAGGGTTTGACCTCTGTATTCCCTGTGCCTCGAAGCATGCTTACCAGTGACTTGTGAATTTGTTCAGTGAATGAGCAAGTGTTTCCAGTACTCTATCCTTCTATTCAAGGCTAAGAAGCAACATGTCATGTTGCACATGGTTTGGACTTGATTCCTGCAGACCATCTGAAATGTATATTACAGGAAAGTAACAATGTGTATCTGTCCTTGTGCTAAGCTCCTCCAGTGGCCTGAGAAGCATGGATGACTGGTGGCACTGGAGCTTGAGCACACTCCTGGATGGCCTGTACTGGGAAAGCTCTGCGGCCAGCGCTCCGCATGCACAGGTGGGTTTCCACTGCGCCTTAGCATGGTGTCATCATAGAAAACCCAAGTGGGGTGAAACTGGCAGGGGCGGGGAGGAGCCCACAGTGTCCTGTTTTGGGGCCAGCACACTCTTGCCCCATCCCTCATTCCCCTCAGCAGTGCTGCCCTCTCCAGACTCCTGTATTTGCTTGAATGGAGCTGGACAGAACCGGATATAGGATGGGAGGACCGAGGGAACTCTGGGGCAGATGAGATGGAAGACTGGCTACCAAACAAATTGCTATGACTTGGGGTCACAGGTGCATCTTGGAACAAAGGAGGAGCAAACAGCTGAGATGGGGGCATTCAGGAAGCAAGGACAAGAAAGCCAGGCTTGTCTATGTCCTAAAGTTCTCAGTAAACTTGCATTTTGTATAATACCCCATTTCTTGCCTATCTTTTATTACCTACCTTTTTTTGAATTAATTTAATTTGTCATGCATTCCTCAAATGCTTCACTTCTAATTCCCACTTTTGTTGAATTATGAAAACCACACTTGCATCAGCTGTTTTCTAAGGACAAAACTGGGGAAGTAGCAGCTGTTTTTCTAAGGATGTTGGTTAAGTCCTTAGACTGTGTCAAAAGGAAAGTAAAAATCTGAACTCTAATTTGGTGGTTGAACTTATCAGAGCAGCCCATGCTGTGTTAGCACTACTGGATAATGCATTGGGTTTATGATGTCTAGTCACTTAGGTCTCCTCCTTCCAGCCTGGGGCTCTAGGAGGCAAGTGCTACCAACTCGGCACTTTGGTCATTAAACAGCTGAAAGTTCTTCCTGGTAGCTCCTGTGAGGTAAGATGCTCTCTTCTTTTTTGCTACTGAAAATGCATTGAAACAGAAGTCTAGGAGATATATGAGTAGGAAACACAGACCATTTGACTAGAAAGAACATGACCTGATTATGAAATGAAATAATGCTGAGATTGAGAGAAGTGGAGCCTTGACCTCCCACCCCCTCCTCTCCCAAGCCCTGTCCCAAGCCTCTGCCTGCCCTGGCATTCTGTTGCAAGTTTGCATGAGTCACTCTTTGGCCTTTTAGAGATCTGGCATCCTGTAGTATTAGATACTTAAATATCTCTAAGTCTCTACATGGGAATATTTATATATCTTTGCTTCATAGAAGAGGGTATAAAAAGATGGGTATATTACCTGTGTCACCTGTAAGGGAAACATTTTGATGTCCCAGCCCAGATGGGTGGGTAAACAAGAGCCAGCCCTTGGGTGCTGGATCCCTGATCATCCATCTAGTGCCAGTTAGAGCCCAGGTACTATGAGGGGCGCTTTGAGGGGAAAGGAGCCATGTGTCGGGATAGTGGCTGTGCTCACCTGTGGCCAGGCTCGGAGACCCCAGAGTGCTACACTGACTTAGACACATGCATATGGGTCTCCTTTGATTGGTGTGTTTTTTTCTGCAGCTTCCCAGTCCATTTTCAACATTTACTGAGGACTCGCTTCCTACATGTAGTCTCACAGTTGGAGGCTCTGAAACCTCCTCCTCCAGGGACCCAGAGATCCAAAGAGTGGCCTCGAGTGACCGCAGTGGCTGCAGGGAGACCTGTGAGCTCAGCTTGGGCAGCACAAGGTCAGTGTGTTTCAGGTGGTTGATGCCCGTTATGCCCCAGCAGGTGCTTGCTGGATGTGAGCTGGAATACCACTCCAGGGTGTGGAGTGGAATGCCACTCCAGGGTGACAGCAAGGCTTGACACCAATGATGAAAGTAGAATGCAAACTCAGGCCTTCAGTCTTTAAGTGAATGAGAGAGATGAGCTGAACTTGGTACAAGGTCTGGATGTCAAAGTATACAAATAGTGGATATTCGTCACGTGTGCTTTGTCCTAAACTGGGTGTTTGCATGGCTTCATTCAGTCCTTACTAAGGAGACTGTTTGAAGTTGGTCAACCCCACTTCTCTTTGCCTAGTTCCTCTGGCCTGGAGCATCAGATTCTCAGGCATGAATCAACACCCACATGGCAGCCACAGTTCTTCCTGCTGGCACTGTTCCCATCACACACCTCCACAATAACATCCAGTGGTATCACTGATTTCTGAGGTGACAGGGAACTCAATGGCAGTCACACTGAGCCCATGTGTAATTACAGTATGTCCAGAGCCTCTGTCTACCCTGGTATTTGAGTATGCCTTATATGAATAACAAGAAAAAAAGGAAATAATTTTTTTACCAAATACAGATAGGGAAGGGTAGTTTCTTTTCAAGGATGGAATCCATAGCAAAAAAGAAAAATAAATATTTTAGAGTCCCTGTGGAGAGGTACCTATGGGGATTAATGATCCCCTCTGCCTTTGGGTCTCTTGGCAAGGACAGGGGGACAGTGGACGTTGTAGTGGTCAACAGAGAAGGGCCATGTGAGCAGCTCTGCACCCAGGGGATATGTCAGGTGACCTGGGCAGGGCCTGGCTGGAGGCTCCTTGCAAGGCCCTCCTGCCTCTCTGACTTGATCTGCTTTTGCAGACCCACGGTGCATGAGGCCCTGGCAAAACTCAGGGCCAGCAGATGGATGAACCGCAGCACCAGGGCTGTGTCACTGCACTTCTCCCTCTATAATCCTCCTACCCGGCTCTTCTCAAGTGTGTCTCTGAGTGCTGAAGTGCTCCCCACAGGGGGACTCATCCTGTCAACCCTGGTAGAGTCCTTCACCCTCTTCTACAGTGACTCGACCCTGTGGTACCACCTCCTGCTCCCTGAGGTGAGTTCATTAGCCCCTTGGCCACTTACTGAGCACAGTGGCTTCACCAGGCCTGGACATTCTCCACCAGACAGGCCTCTGACCCTGCTCACCTACTCTCCACAGACCCCTGTCATGTCCCAATCAAATGACAAGTCATTCAATAGGTGTGGGTACAAAGTGAGAAGACCACCTGCTCCACACACACACACACAGTGGGAACCAACACACATATGTGACTAATATAAATGTAGGCCTATAGAAGTGGGAGTATTGGGACTATATCCAGATCCTTCCTAAGAGTATTAGCTATTGTTACCATGAGGAAATACTCAGTGGGGCTTAAACTCCAGATACTAATTTTCCACGGTTTTGGAGACTGGAAGCCTGAGATCAGTGTGATAGCATGGTCAGGTGTGATGAGGCTGCTCCTCCTGGCTTACACCTGTCTCCCTTCTCCCCGTGTCCTTCTAGTGGGAATAGAATGGTCTCTGGTGTCTCTTCTGCTTCTTATATGGGCTCTAATTCCATCATGGGGGCCTCACCCTTAAACTCATTTTACCTTAATTACTTCTCTAGAGACCTCATTTCCAAATATAACTACCCACACTGTGGGGAGAGGGGTAAAGATCTCAATGTATAAATTTGGATACAAATCTTCAGCACCATGGCTCTTGGTCAGATGGAATAGATTCATGGAAAGCACCAGAAGTCATTCTGAACTTCCAAGAAATTTTTCTGACTTTTACCTGTATTTCCCTTTTCTGCTGTGAAGAACTAAGGTCTGCTGACACTCCAGCTCAAGTGCATTTGCCTTGAATGTGAAAGAGGAATTGTGTAGTTTAGAGTCCAGGAACAGTTGAGTGAATTTGTCCAGGCTGGGGCTGTGATAGAGCCTCAGAGCTATGCCCTGCCCACAAGGGCAGGAGATCAGGCACACTCTTCAGGCACCAACTTTAGGGACCAAAATACCAAGTCATGAAGATAAGTAACAAAGGGGAGTCTGGCTAGATGGCAGCAGAGTGAAGATGCTGTTTTTGCTACCTCCAGATGCTCACAATAAAACTGCTGTATAACAAAGTCAAAAAATATCTGAGAAGTTGCAACAGCACACAATAGCAACATCAGTCCAGCTGAAAAGGTTATAAAAAACTTCATATGAACTTTATTTATAGTGATAATGGGGCAGTGAAATCCACAAAAGGGAGGAACTGAGTTGTGCAGAGCCCACTACAGCCATTGACGAGAGTATACCAACACTGGGGCTCCTAAGACCAAAACTGAGTAAGGGGGTGTGCATGCATTTCTAGAGAGTTAAAGAGGTAGAAACACAGAGAACAAGCTACTAGTTTGTGTCTGAAGCTCTTAATACAGAGCAGCTGTAGCCTAAATCAGGTCATAGCACCTGGACTTCCCTAGAGAAAAGCCCACTACTAGAAGTCCACTCAAATGCCTGTCATCCCCCAAAGAGAAACATTTCAACAATCTAGAGCTCCAGCACCTACCAGAGCAGGAGGGCGCATCCCAAGATAAGCCTCTGTGCTGGGGAGGTAAAGACAATAACTCCCAGACAATAACATACCAGCCGCAACTCATACCCAGTCCTGCATATAATGCTTAAGAATAGTCTAGAATGGAATTGGACAGGAGACCTTAAAAGACACTGAAAATGAGTGGTTGGCATGGATGAGGGGATCACTGTGGATACTTACCACACAACTTTGGCACCCACAGCACAGGGAATTGTAATTCCTGCATTATTGGAAATGATCCTTTGGTGCCTAATACCCTGGTCCTCTTTTTTTTTTTTTTTTTTTAATTAGCTTCATGTGTAAATTCTTATAGCTGTTACCCATCATCAGTTCTACAATTGCTCACCAATTGTCCAACATATGCAAAGACATAGTTGAAGGTCTTATCAAGACACATAGTATTTCGGACAGAGAGGGTGTGGGTGGGGACCTGAAACTAGCCCTGACTCAGTGGAATTGCAGAGCATGACGGAAGGGAAATTCAGGGCAAATAATCTGGCAAACATAAAACAATAACACAAAAAAGATAACAAAAAAATGAGGCAGCTATAATTAGAAACAATATAAATGTTTTTAAAATATAATTGAGGACCTCAATAGCAGACAGATAGAAGCAATGGAGAAAACTAATGAGTTTAAAAACATAGTGTCAGAAATACCAATAATAGAACAATGATGAGAAAAATAATTTAAAAGAATGCAAATGGTGCAAGAATCCTATGGGACAGCCAAAGAGAAAACATCTCTATCATGGGGGTGTCAAAAGAGGAAGACGAGGAGAAAGTCATAGAAAAAACTTATTTAAATAAATAATTCTTGAAAATTATCTCAATCTGGGAAACAAACGAGATGTTGTGGTCCAAGAAGGCCATAGAGTTCCAAACAAAATAAGAAAAAAATCAAGTCACATTATAATAAGGCTGTTGAGAACCAGTGACAAGGACATAATACTAAAACAATCAAGGAAAAAAAAAGGGTTAGAGAAAAAAAAAAGAGTGACCTCTAAGGTAATGTTTCAGTAGAAACATTACTATTATGAAGGGACTGTGAGGAGATATTTAAAGAACTTAAAAAAAAACTTCCAGCCCAGAGTTCTTTACCCAGAAATATTAACATTCAAGACAGATGAGTAAGGAGATTTACTTGGCACAAACTAAAAGAATATATCAACACCAAGCCTCACATGAAAGAAATTGTAAAGGGGTCATTATAAGGCAATGGAACAAAGAATATCAAGGCAACAGATACCTAACCATTTAACATGGAAGAGGAGGAGGAAAGTAACAACAGAACCAGCCGGACACCACACCATCCAATGGGTAATATCATGTATTAACCTCAAGAGAATCCTCAAATAAACAATAATAGAAGAAATACATAAGACAAGAGAAATGGAACTTTAGAAAAAGAATAGAAAGCACTCAAAATATAAAAAAGACAAGGCAAAGCAAAACAAAAGTATTACAAAATGGCAATGGACACTTATATCTCACCAATCACCTTAAAAGTAAATGGTCTGATAACAGGAATCTAGAAAACCTAAATAAGGGACCAGGAAAAAGAATAACTATAAGAAGAAAAAAATAAAAATCAACAAACAACTATGAACCAGAAACACACTTGAGGGGGAGGGGAAGGAGGGATTGGGGTCAAAATCAGGGGGTTGCAATTGTATGGGGAATATAAAAAGAAAAAAAAGAAAAAAGAAAAAAAAGTAAATGGTCTGAACTCACTAGTCAAAAGGTGAAGAGGGGCTAAGTGGATTTCAAAACAAAGCCCAACTTTCAGCTGTTTACAGCATGCTCCCCTTATCAACAAAGATAAGCATAAACTTACAGTTAAAAGCAGGAAGGCAGTTACACAAGAAAATGGCAACAACAACAAAATAAAAAACAGTTATATAATTATCTCTTAAAATATATTTCCAATTAATAGGAGTAATAGGAAATAGAGACTGACACTATATTACAATCAAGGACCTAATGAAAGAATAATAACTCTCAAAAATATATATACACCAAATGATGGAGCACTGAGATAAATAAGACAGTAACAGAACTTACTTGAGAAACTTAATACATCATTTACAGCAATGGACAGATCAAGAAGCTAAGACATAATTTAGGTAACGACATCTTTAAGTGAGGAGCTAGGCCAAATAGGCTTAATGGACATTTGCAAAGCACTCCACACAGAAAATTCCATGTACACAATTTTTTTAAATGTACGTGGAACATTTTCAAGCATAGACCATATCTTGGGACACAAGTCAATAAACCCACAAACACTGAAATTATAGCTAGTACTTTCTCAAACAATAATAAAATAAATAATATATATAATATATAAAATAATATATAAAAATGCAAAACTGTATACATGGAGACTAAACAACATGCTGGTTAATAGCAATTGGATAAATTAAATCAAATTATAAATTAAAAAATAATTACACAAGCCAAAGTGATGAATAATCTAGAAGAATCTATATCTTGCAGCAAAAAACAGTTTAGCAGGGAGGATAATTGCAATTCAGGCCTGTAGTAAAAAGAAAAAAAAAATATCCCAAATACTCAATCTACTATCAAATCTAAAGCAACTTGAGGGGTGTCCCTGGTGGCACAGGGTTTAAAGTCTCAGTGCATTCAAGCTATCTCCAGCCTCTGTGGTATGAGTTTGATCCCCAGCCAGTGATCTAACCCACATAAGGCACAACAGACCTCTCCTGCCTTGCTCATCACCCCCACTAGCAGTGTATGTCAGTAGATCCACCTGTTCTGCTCCCCATTCTGTCTCTGGTGAATACTCTCACCCCACACACCTCTAGCCTATACCCCAGTTCTTGTGTGTATAAATAAATTAAAAAATAAATCTTCAAAGCAACTTGAAAGAGAGGAGCAAACAAGACCTATAGCTAGTAGAAGGAAGAAATTGATACAAATAAGAGTGGAAATAAAATAGAGTCCAAAAACTATACAAAAAATCAATGAAACTAGGAGTTAGTTCTAGCTAGGGTAACAAAAAAAGAAGAGAGAAAATATTAATAAACAATCACAAATGAAAGGATATATCACCACAGATAGTAGAGAAATGCAAAAAATTAACAGATTTGTGAACAATTGTATGCCAATTAATTTGACTACCTTTAGAAAATGGATAGATTACTAGGTCAATATAATCTAAAAAGATTAACCCAGGAAGACACAGATGAATTGAATAAACTGATTATAGCATGGGAATTGAAACAGTAATTTTATAAATTTTCAAAAAAATAAGTACCTAGGACCAGATGACTTTACAAATGAATTTAACCAAATTTTGTAAATTTTATTATATATATATTTTACATCATTCTTCCTTTTTGTATAATGCATGCTTTCTCCTTTCAGGTGTAGTCCCCACAAAATTCATATCACCAATTCACCCATGCACTATTGCCATAGTCCTTTGTGTAAGAACATATTGCCTCCTCTGTTTTCATCCCTCTTC